ACAAGCTATGGAGCTCCTCAAGGTGCTCATCAACATTTTGACACCCCAGCTCGTCCAAGTAACAGCTATATTCCACCTTCATAAAAGTTCCATCGGTCAATTCGTAACTTTGGTCAACCACGTAACACTTTTGGTATCCCAGAACGACGAGGCTATAATTAAGCAAAACTGTTGGTTCTAAATCCGTTGATCTGAATGAAACTGTTATTTATGTTTATAAGAATACTCCCTCTGTTGCGATAAAAAAAAATACGGAAAATGCATTTTTTCATTATTTAAGAAGACTGTACATGTACATAGTTGAGACAACTAAATAAAACAATTGTTTAGCACAAAAAAATCTTGTCTAATTTCAATTATCACGTTTCTGACAATATCAGCGACAATATTCTGAATTGAAATAAATCATATTTTATAGCATTGTGAGACGACTTACTGAACATTAAAACAAACAAATTTCGTCCGAACGGATTTTCTCAGTCTGTTTTAATATGATATATTTCGCAGCAATCGAACATTTTTCAAGTCACCAAATCTCCCACCATGTGCGCATCTGTGACATCAAACTAGTAACTAAACATCGCATATCTTGTCATTTCAAGGTTTATTGACATTGAACTTTTTTCTCAATGATAGGAAACTCTCTTAGTTCTTAAAACATACCAAAGAGGGCGCCAACAGCTGTACATAGAAATGTCCATAAGAAAGCGCCCTCTTTGTCAAATATCTTGTTGTTGGTCAAGAAAAAGTATGTATAGTTTCCTGTTGTTGTTTTTTCTGTTTCATTTCTACTGCAATCCAACAAATTTCTTCAATTTTTGCAACGAAAGTGAATTCCATAATATATTTGCTTCAGAAAAAATTGACTTGAACGCAAGAGAAAAAAGGAGTTTTTCGGAAAAAAAATATATCAATTAATTCAATCAAGTATGCAAGCACATTAACGCATATTTACCGCATTATAATATGACGATAATAATCAGATATTTATCTGAACCTTCAAATCACATGTTTTTTCTCTCGTATATTATGTAAAAATGCTGTATTGACGTGACTTTCTTCATGTATAGTCTCACCTATTGATGATTGAAGGGGATCATTTATTTCTTTGGCGGTGAATAATCACATGCAAATATTTTTATGATTTCAAAGGAAAGCGCCGTGTATTGTCATATAAATTTATATAAAATTTACAATTTAATTGTGTCGTATACCAAGAAAATGAATTACTGACTGTTATTTTACATGATTTAATTGAGTTGCAAAGCATACAAGTCGCACGCAATTATTCCATCAGACAAATATTTTCACATGAATACTTTATTGGGGACTCAATACTAATCGAATATTAAGTAAGGCTCATTACAAATCGTGAAATAAAATTAACAAAGCGTGAAATAAAAATGACACAACGGGTAATAAAAATGACAAATTAGTTCCATAAAGAACCTTCTTCATTTAACCAGATTATGTACACTATATAAACTTTTAATGAAGGTGTTCTGTTCTTTGCTTAAATTCAATAAAAAATCAATAGATGGCGCTGCATTTCTCTGTATAAATCATGCAAGTTAAAGCTATTTTGGTTTGTGTCTGCGATAATTTAAAGCTGTTTATAGTCAATTGATTGTTGTCTTTGACAATAGTGGAAAGCTGTTGAAGGTTCTTTGACAAAAATTAACAATAACAATATTGAACGAATATTGGTCAGAATTATTGCAAAATATGTTATTTTCATGCCCGTTTTGTCAAAGTTAATTTCCTATTTTGGCAATTTTATTGCCACTTGTGTCAAAATTAATTTCTCAACGTGGCAATTTGATTGAAAGAAATGTTAATTTTATTGCAAGTTTTGTTAAATTTATTTATAATTTTTGTCAAATTTATGGAACCAATTTGTCATTTTTATTTCACACTTTGTTAATTTTATTTCAAGATTTGTATTTAACCTATTAAGTAAGCATAGAATTCTTAACATCGGCCAACCAGTGAATGCATCTTCATCAATAATCATGTTCGAAATTGACAGAAGATTCATTAAATTTGGGAACATAATTGAGAGAAATGTCGACTATGACTCATATTAAACCAGGAACCGCAACGAAATTAGGCTACAACAAAATCACAACAACATTGGTGGACACAATGTGATAGGGGCATTAAAAAAAAATGATCAAATAATAGTAAGAAATTGTAATATAATACAAAGAATGTTATACTTTGTACTGGAATATCGAAAGACGAAATAACTTATTTTCGCACGAAATTAGTTAAACTGACTAGTCGGTTACCATACATAATTATACATTCGGCTTAAAATAACAAGAAAATGGTGTAAAAAGGTTATACTATGAATTTACATTTTTTTTGTAATATAAATACTCTTGGCAACGATTTTTTTTCAATGTTAAAATCTTAACTCAACGAATATGCTGCCTTGACATGAACACATCTCGAACAATATGTGTTGTAAGTCCACATCTAATTCGAAATCATTGATAAAAACTGAAATTATTTTTGTAGAACTTCATAATAACCAAAAAACCAATCTTTCACTTAATCACCTAACCGTTAACCGACGATTTTTTCCGTTTGCCAATTTTTTTGTTGAGTGAACACCTTTGGTAACAGTTTCGACAGACGGACTGATTTACATTCGAATATTGACGCAAAAAATGATGATGAAGATCCAATTCAAAGTGATTGTAAATAGATAAATGATGCGCTACCTTGCCGCTACTATCAAATGTATTTTTGTGGGGATAAAATCAATTTTTCGAATCAATATAAATAGCGAAAATGCAGGATATGAAATCAAAACTGATTCAGTCATTGCTCGAAGATGATTTGTAAGGTGTGTGTGTGTGTGTTATCGTGTGTTCAAAAATGCTTCGATGCAAAGCGAGTCTTTAATCAAATTTTCTTACATTCCAGGTATTTGTACCGTTGACACTGTTAGTGGCAGTTAATGCTGGTCTTTTGTCATACGGAGAAGCACCATCTCAGGCTGTTCATCCAGTACAACACGTATCCATCCAACAATTACCTGTTCACCATTTGCCCATTCAGCAATTGCCTCTCCAACATATCCCAGTTCAACACGCGGCAGTTCCAGTTCAGCATTTTCCAATCCAAGAACATGTGCATATTCAAAACGTCCCGGTGCCAGCACCAACGAGTCAAATTGTATCTGTCCAGAAAACAATTGTGAAGGAAATTGAAGTGTGTACTTTTTTAAACAAATCCAATTGTAACGAATTCTGAGTGCCATTGCTAAATATTTTCTGTATTCAACAAATTTTTTGTTTGAAAAGGTTCCCTATCCAGTGGACAAATACGTCAAAGTCGATCGTCACATTTCAGTTCCCGTTGATCGTTACATTCGCGTTGACCGACCATATGAAGTGATCAAATACGTTCAAGAGCCATACATCGTGAGAGTTGAACGGCCATATCATCTTCCGATCGAAACAAAAGTATCCGTACCGAAACCGATTGTCGAAGTTGAACCAATCCTTTCTGAGCCTCAACACATTGTAAAAGAAGTTGAATCAAAACCCGTTCAGCCACACAATGAGTACCTTCCCCCACCACCAGCTGAACCTAAGAATAAATACTTACCTCCCAAGAATGAGTACATACCACCCGCTCAAGCTGCTCCACAGCCAGAAAATCTTAAATACTTACCGCCGAAACAAAATCAACCAGAGACAAAATCACAATTTGTCCCACCACCACCCTTGCCACAGCCGCTCCCACGGCCCGAATACCTTCCAGCCTCGAAAAATTGAAAAGTCTACGGAAAAGTTGAACGTTATTTCTCGCATCTGATTGTTGTTTTTCATAGTTTTACTGTTATATAATTTATAAATGTTTCGAAATAAATAAATTGAACATTCTAAAAACCTTCTGTGATTTCGCCATCTATATATATAAAACTCATTGTGCGTGTGTCCTATTTTTTTTTATTTTCATGATTTTTTAATTCTTGGTTTTAATGGTGAATATGTCGTTAGAATTCTCGCGGCTTAAATAGCAGATTCACATATCAGTTTTGATTTTCGAATCGCTAGTTATAGAATATAGCCGGTGGTTCATTTACGCTTTCATTCTTAATAACTACATTTAGCTTTTTGGAACCGTTTATTGTCTCGCAATGAAGTACAATTCCGTGTTTGGCTGTAAATCACATAAATATGAATGCGGAAAATGAAAAACGGCCAACGAATTTCATGCTAGAAAAACAAATTCAGATAAATGAGTGCTTTCTGGTTGACTTTCGCAGTTTCCATGTGGAAATTGAAAAAAAACCGCATACAATTTTTTTCATGGGCCCTAGCATGTTGTTTACAAGAAATATAGACCACATGATAGAATATATACAGTCATGGACTAAATTGAGCGTACGACTGCCAGAAAAATGTATCGCGGACTATTTCATGAACCTAATTTATTTTTTTCAATCAATTCTTTGCACTGTTTGTTGCGTAATTATGTGAACTAATAGTAACCGAGAGAATTTTGATTTTTTTTTCACTCACAAATGGTAAGTTATTTTGACATCTTGTCTTGATCAAATTTACTTTACTCATCAAGTGCTACAACTATGCTGAACATGTCAATCCCAAAAACTAACTCCCTTAAAAAATAAACGCTGAAGTACCACAATGTGGAGTCCATGTAGTACTCTTATATGGATCATTTCGTATTAACGGATTTTTGGCTGACAAGATGTTGTTTTTTTGCTAGAAAATATTGAGCAAATTTCCAGTTCTTGATGTGAACAAAAAATTATCTCTTCTAGTCATCTCCAAAAAACAACATCTTGTCAGCCAAAAATCCGTTAATACGAAATGATCCATATAAGAGTACTACATGGACTCCACATTGTGGTACTTCAGCGTTTATTTTTTAAGGGAGTTAGTTTTTGGGATTGACAAGTTCAGCATAGTTGTAGCACTTGATGAGTAAAGTAAATTTGATCAAGACAAGATGTCAAAATAACTTACCATTCGTGAGTTATAACCTCAAATCTCAAATAAATGGCGCTATTTTGACATCAGCTGTCATACTTTCACGGCTGTATCTTTTAAAGTACTTGAAATATTTGGTTGGTTATTATTGCATTTTGTTGGTCTAACCTCAAGCTTTCAAACGCCGGTTAAGATGCTTCAATATCATTCTTGGTTCAAGAAATATTCATATGTGTTGAAGGTGATAAAAGTGAAAAATAAAAAAAAAGTTTAACCGTCTCCATTTCCCAAACAACGGTTCGGTGGAGCAAAACATATATATCATTTCGAAGCAACATGAGCTTGTGCATCATACTGTATCCCCCCCTATTTCAATTTCCATGAATTTTCTCTATTTAAACAAATATTAAACGGACCGTACGCTCAATTTTGTCCAGCACAAAAATGACATTCATCTACATTTTTCAATAAAAATCACAAAATCCAAATAAAAAAATTCAAAATTCTCTCGGTTACTATTAGTTCACATAATTACGCAACAAACAGTGCAAAGAATTGATTGAAAAAAATAAATTAGGTTCATGAAATAGTCCGCGATACATTTTTCGTACGCTCAATTTAGTCCATGACTGTAGATATCTCATCTATGTAAACCAAAAGCACCGAAAATTAATTTCCTCCTTCATCGCATTATATTTTCATCTAGCACGCACATCTCTTGCGATTTAACGCAGACAAATGATAAAATCACGGGACAAATTCTAATCACGATAGAAATTCGTGCGTTAGTTTCCTTCTTCTTCTGCATTCCATTTCATGGATTTGGTGTTGTTGTTGTTGTTTTTTTCTTTGCTTCGAATTATTGTCTAAGCGCGCGACCACAAAAAACCAACGTATTTGTGACAAAAGGAGACCAAGTTTAGCACGTACCACAGGCCATATATACCTAATATAAATGAATGTGAAACATAGCGCGCACAGGATATCGGGCAAATTGAATACCAAGTGACACGTTTCACATTTTCAGTTTTAGGAACATTTGCGACCCAAATAAAAGGCAACGCGCTCGCTTATGCCCCCACAAACACACACGCATACACACATAAGTTTACATTTGTTTTGATTTCCCATGCGACATTTTGCTCATTTCACAGATTCGCACAGCCGCCAACGTAACAAACACAAGCTTTTATGAATTATTGCGGCTCTTTTCAAATTCCATTTGTGGATTACCGAGAAAAACAGATCATTTATTGCTTGTATTTTTATCATTATTATGCCGTGGTAAACGATGGAGATTTTTTTTACATACTAGATCTGGGGCTGTTGAGAGATTTTCATGAATGAAATTTTTCCAACTATTTTTTCCTTGGTACAATTTTCGTCAATCTACGTTTTTCCTTTTTTTAAATATACATTTTACTGGGATTGAAGACGTTTGAACCAAAAGTACTTACTACCGAAAAGAGACTACTACTCTCAACATAGGTTTCCGTTTCAATTAGTAAAAATTTATAGTGAAGCGCAATGTCCAATTCAATATTTATTGCTTGACTTTCGTTTGAGTTAATGATATTGGTCAGTTGTGCTTTCTTTTTTGATTGCTATCGTCGAGAGTGCCTTTTCCAATTTCATCCACTACATTTCAAAATAAGAAGAAAAAAACGGAGGGAACGAACAACGATGCAGATTTTCAAATCTCAGCGGATTAAACATTGAATCTCCGGTTAACCCAGCGAAGACACGATGCTTATTTGACATAAAAAGTCTGTATGCATTGCATGCACACTTACCTTGATGACTGCTTCAACATTTCAGTAATCGTTGTCGGTGTGTGTGTTTATCATGTAGTTTGGAACTATTGCCGGAAAGTAGGCAACACAGGCAAAATAGATATATAAACACAGTGCACATCTTTGACATACAAAAAAATGGTCGTTATTTGGTAATGTGAGTAAATAATTAAGTAAAGTGATTTTAGTGTGCAAAAACGGAGCGAGATTAAGAGAGATTTAATATTGCTTTGGGATCACATCAAGTGTGCGACTGGGAGCATTGCATCGATTTGCTGATGATGATTTCAACTACGAACAATCTCTTTCCGTTCGATTTGAGCATTTAATGTTCACTTTGGATTAATTCAATATTCAACGTGTTTATTTTTTTTTTTTCGACTGAGTATATCCGTGCATCTCAAACGATGTTTAGATATCGTCATTTAAAAATGCAAATTCTGCACACACACACACACAGTCAAAACATTCCAGCGCACACACTCATGTAACGAAGTTGGCAGTTATGTCAAAGACGAAAACCATAAAAGTGCAAGCACGGCAAAAAGAGCACTGATTAAATTGTAAACGTGTTACTAGATTTTAGTGCTTAAAATAAAAGTAAATAGTCGAAACCATGTAATACTATCATACACATTTTAATTTGAATATTGATTGTGAATTTCTTCACTCGGAAAACTAATTTCGTTTAGCGCAGTTCATTCACATACACACACACACTTTTGTATCATTTCAACTGGTGAAAAGGTAGAAATGCAAATTGAAAATTGAGTTTAGCATAATCAACCAAATAGATTTTATCAGTATCTATATAGATTGAAATAGGACGCCCGGATACTGATTGCAATACGAATCGCATTCGAAAACCTGTACCAGACATTTGTTTCATTGAATTACCACAGATATGCGTTGATAGATGATGATAGTGTCTGTGTTCGATTCACGTTAATATTCTTGTTATGAGAAATGGCTTGGTTGTAAAGGATACAAAGCGAAGAGATAGCCGACCATTCTGATTATATATTGTTTTGGTAGAGAATGTGTCATAAATTGAAATGCTTGGTTAACCATTTATCATGACCGACACATTTTGAAAACCACACTCTCACTCAAACGCACACACACACACACACACACACAGATGCTTAGCACAGCAAATCTTATGCAATATTCCATTTACGAAATTAAATCCCTGGCGTTGGGCCATCTCTTCAACGGGGCAACAAATGAATAAACAAATACCGTACGCAACCACCAATACACATACGATATAATATAGATATGGGTTTCGATTCAATCCATTTACACTCCATACACAATTTATTATTATATGGCAAATTCATTCCATAATTATCGAAGTGATATGGATATGGTGGCGTATACACAGATTTACCATGTTCAACACTCCTTAATCATTTATTCACGACTCGTGAATCACGACGAGAGAGAGAGAGAGAGAGAGAGAGAGAGAGAGAGAGAGAGAGAGAGTGAGCAGCATCTAAGAAGGTGTGAAATTGCTACGGTTTGCTGTGATTTTCCCCGTACAGCATCCGATTTATCTTGTGTTCAAAGAGAGATGCGATGTGTGAACGTAACGTTGAACCGTATGCACAATTGTGCTTGTATAAAAAGTACGATAACAAACTTGATTGAATCTGCAACATGTGCGAAAAGTGTTAGCGACTTAATAATACATTTTAATAAAGTATTCTGAAAAAAGAAAAGTCATTCGAGATAGAAAAACGTAAATCATAAATTCGTAGAGTTTTTGCACACACACACATACACCAAAAAAAAAACAGTGTGGTGCGGCACATGTTCAATGAATTTGATTTTGTTGCGTCATGCGATGATGATTCATCTCGAGATACATAAATAATAATCAATCATTTCGATATGTCATCCGACTAAGCCATTTTAATACATCACACGAAAACAAGAGACTGTTACTTTCTCTTGACGCGTGCGCGCATCACAAACACAATAATTTCATTAAATATATCTGATATCTTTGCAACATATTTC